TAACAATAAATGAATAACTATAACAAAAAACCAGTAACCTAAACAACAAACAATAACCATAACAAAAAAACCTGTAATCATAACAACAAACACGTAACCTTAACATCAAACCCGTAGCCTTAACAACTACCACGCAACCTTAACAACAAATCAACAAATATAACAAAAAACCCTTAACCTAAACAACAAACAATAACCATAACAAAAAACCCGTAACCATAACAACAAACCTGTAACCTTAACGTCAAACCCGTAACCTTAATAACTAACACGTAACCTTAACAACAAATCAATAACTATAACAAAAAATCCTTAACCTAACTACAAATCAATAACCTTACCAAAAATCCCGTAACCGTAACAACAAACCCGTAAACTAAACAACAAACGTAAATACTTAAGATATGAGGTAAATACTTACTTGTTACATCTATAAATGCAAAAATAGTTGAGAGTTTTTTTCTCCTCTTCCGTCAGCAGCGCGACAACATCTGTTGACACCTTATAATTATGTACAAATGTGTCCTTGTCGCCTAAAAACTTGATGATGAAGCCCTCTGGAAAGGGAATCCCCTCGTTCAGCTTATTCCTGTACATTTCTTCTTCTGAACTCATAAGGGAACTCATGTGTTTTTCCCAGATAGAGTGGGGGTCACTTTGTAACCGAGCAGGAGCCAACTCTGCTACATTTTCCTGCACCTGCTCTTCCTCCTCTCCAACCACTTCAATTATAGCCTTGTCCCCTATGTTGTTTTTTTCTTTCTTCTTCTTCCCTTCAGTGTAAGGGGTGACTATCCACTTGGAAGGCTTCACCGTTCTTTTGCATCTCTTCCATTTAAGGGGTGCAGCAGCGGCCACCTTCTCGCGTGCCCCCCTTGCACCCCTCTTTCTCTTATTCAAATCCCTTGAAAACACAATAGGAGCATCTTCGTCATCAGTTGATGTCTCTATTGCTGGTGGAGGGGCATTCTCTGATTGCTTTATTTCCATCCCAGTATCCTCCCGCAGAGTGTCTGATTCCAAACAATCCATTCGAAGTATAAATATTAAGAAAACTTAGCCCCTTCTATCTAAACTTAACAATTTCATAGTAACCCTAACAACTGATGCCTAAACACATGGTGAAAAAGTTACTAACCTATACAAGTTTGCATCTCCGTATTATGTCCTGCATATGGGACATCAACCGCCGGCGTTATTTCCCTTCCAGTACCCTCGCATTGAGTGCCTGTTTCTGATAATATTCAGAGTATAAACAATCAAATACTTAACAACCAATACGTAGACATAATAACCAATCTCTAACGTATAGTGCACAAGCAAGCTGACCTGTACAAGTTAGCAGCTCCTTCGCTGGCGGGGACACCTTCTCTCTCTCGTTTATTTCTGCCTCAAGAGCCTTGTCAATGCGATAGGCCTCTGGTGGAGGTACTTCTCCTGACGGAGCATCTTCACTCTCATTGTGGATATTAGAAAAAATGATTGTGGAGAGGCCCTCCCTGTTGGAGGATCGTCGCTCTCCTTATTAGCTTCATCAAATAATGATTGATTAACATCCCCCTCGTACTGTATATCAATGCCACCCATGGTGCATGGAGTGTCTGATACAAAAAATAAACAAATGAGCTTAGGTATTTCATTATCAAAAAAAAAAAACATAGCATCAGTTACATAACCATAACAACTAACCCAGATACTTAACAATCAATCTCTAACCTTGGCAATAAATCCCTAACCTTAACATTAGATCCGTAAAGTTAACAGTAAATTCTTAACCTTAACAAAAAATCCATATACTTATCAATCAATCTTTAAACATAACACGCAAACGTAATTGCAAGCCAAATCTAACCTGTACAAGTTTGCAGCTCAATCAATGAGCCGGAAACCAATCCTATAGGGCTCTTATCCTTATATACAGAGAGGGTTCTGGATCGTGCTTCACTTAGTTCCTCTCCCAGTCTTCTATTTTGAGCAGACAGCTTAGCCACCTTCACAGAAAGAGCACTTATCTTTACACAGTCTGCAGCAATCATACCCTTGAATTTATTCTCGTTCTCGTGACGTAATGCTTGATTCATTGCCGCGATGCTCTTCCAGTAGATAACTTGCTGAGGCCATTCCATTTGCTCAACTGCTTCATTTGGCTACTCGACGTCTTCATCAATATCCTGTGGCATCACATATGCAATGGACAGATAGAGTATTATTAAAACGATTAATTAATTAAAAAACAAATGAAATCCACGATTGCTAAATTCTTACAACTGCATCAATTGGGATGTCGTCATCTTCTGCTCTCCTCTTCTTCTTGTGAAGAATGTCTCTTGGGCCACGAGCCCTGCCGGCGTCTACTGCAGCCGGTCCCTTAATTCTCCTCTTCTCTCTCTCTCTCTCATCTTCTCTTTCTCGATCCCCTGCTCCTTCCCCCACAAACCTCCCTCGATTCTTTGAAATTGGCCATGTTGTTGTGGAAGCTTTATCGTAGCTTTGCTTGCTTTAGCTACAACAGTGGACAATCTTAAATAACCAACAACCTCTTCAAGTCTCACCCAATTTGTGAGGGGAGGCCTCACCGTACATCCAACTGCTGGCTTCTTGATGCCGGTAAGTTCATAATACCACAACTGCACATTAGAGAAATAAAAACTTAACAAACGCCTTTATCCGTAATAATTAATAAGTAACCCTAACAATAAAAATGTAACCTTAACAACCAAACCATAATATTAACAACCAAACCGTAACCTTGACAACCAAACTGTAACATTAACAACTAAACCCTAACCTTCACAATCAGTAATAAAAGATATGATTACTTACACAAACTAGAGGGGTACACCCTTGCAGATATAAAGTCGTCTTCCCTGGCTCAGGACCCTTTAGTGCCCTCTCTATCGCGTCAGATGTCTCACTGAATATATAGGTCCGCCAAGCAGTGTTATTGACCTGTTCGATGCTGTCGACGTACTTGAATAAATGACTAGGAACGCCGGAAACACTGCTTGGACACCAAATCATGCTCAGCTGATAGAGGATCTGTAGCAGGACAAAGTCCTTCACATCTCGGCGATCAGAAGATAGTACCAGCTTCAAGAGCAGGTCCTCCACATTGCGTCTGGTGGGGCCTCCTTTGGGGGGAGCTATACTGCTGGAACCTCCGGTCTCGGGTTTGTCAAAAAACGTGGACCAAATCTTATTTTTCCTATCCCGATTGTGGTCAACATGAAGCCCCTCATTGGAGAACCATGTATGCTCCATTACCCACTAAAGGTTGAATGAGCATGTGATCTCTTCTCCATCATTCCTATCGGTGAAGACGAATTTTTTGCTTTTCTTATCCCACTGACTCAAAATGTGCTCAAAGGTGGGAAGATCGACACCAGGTGGGCCAAATTGGACGTAGTGTCTGAATACACTATCTTCGTAGGCCGTAAAATACCTTGGCACCATACACATCACCAAATTCCGCATGAAGTCGTGATAGGCACTGAAGCTGGCGGTGGGCCGCAACATAATAGTTGGCTTTACCCTTTTTCTACAAAACAAAAACACAAGACAAGAGCATTTTTGAGTATAATCAGTAAACATAACAACTATGCTGTAAACTTTATGGATAAACCAACAACCTTAACAACAACCCCATAACCTTATCAACCAAAACCTAACCTTAACAACCAAAGCCTAACCTCAACAACCAAACAACAACCTCAACAATAAAAGCATAAACCTTGCATGTTAACAGTAACCTCAACAGCTAACAGACACCCGTAATTTTAGACCTTCCCACCAGACTAGGAGCATTATCAATCAAACCATAACCTTAACAACATAAAACTTGCGGTAAAATTACCTTTTGGGTGCTGCCACGTGCTTCTCTTTTTCTCTTCTCTGTAGACCAAGGAGCGCTCTAGTGACATCGTTGGAAGCGCCGGTGGTGCCAGTGCTGCCCTCTAGACCTTCGCGGGGGCCTACACTTAAATTTTGAGGTGAGCTTCTGGGTTAAGAATGGCTGGTTGCGATGTCCGTTAGAACATCATCAATCGCAGATCCAGCTTCAGATTCAGTCCGCACTGTAGCTGTATGGGCTCTTTCTGAGATTTCGAACTGCTGGGCGTCATCGCTTTCGCAGTGGTCGGCATGGAGGTTGGCCTTGGGCGTTGAATCGCCGGCCATTTTGATCCCTTTGCTTTGATTCGGTTTGCATTGGAGTCGGTTGATTTAGGGCTAGGGTTTTGAATTGAGTTTCTGGAGTCGGTTTGCTTGCAGAAGAGAGAGATGATAGGGTACGGACGAGGAGGTAACTCATAACAGGGAATTTTAAACGTAATGGTATTTTGGGCATTTCGAGCGGGGTTTAAACGGAGTTACACCTGGGTATTCGTTTTGGGGGCTGGAAGAAAATCGCGGGCGATTTTGGGGGCAAAGCACCCGTTGAAAAAGTCTTTGGGGGGGGGAGCACGTTTTGTTGTGTTTTGGGGGTTGGAAGCATTTTTCCCTAAAAAAATTGCTTGGAACAACAGAATTATAGATCCACAATTGGGCATAGTATGGCGGGTCAATCCACAATTAAACGCATCTTCTTCATGTCTAGCTTTGAGGAACTTTTAGGGATTTGATGACCATATTGATTAATCAAAGGCATCACAACATATATAGGTAAATAAGAGAAATTGTTCAATGCCTGTAGTTCATAGCATTAGTGGTGCAACAAAGCCAATGGATATTTACTCCATAAGATATATGAACATCAAATTGACAGCACTTAGAAATTTATCTCTTGTATTGATTATCTTTTTTGTACTGATTATCTTTTATCTTTTTTTTATTGAAAGACATATTTGCTCGAGATACGCAAAGATCAATTGGTGGCACCATGCGTAATTAGACCCAAATAATGACTGCCCAACGGTCAAATCCATTTCAAAAAATATGACCGTTGGAGACGCTCCCCTAAGCCCTCTTTCCATTCAAGAAGGAACAAAAGGGGCCTGAACCAATTGAAACCGCCTTCCTTAAAAACAAAATCACAGAAAAACTCACAAATAAAAAGGTAAAATCCCCTTCACAAATTTCTCTATTGAATCCTCCCTCTCTTGAATCAAATCAAGCCTCCAATGGATCGTCGGCCTCCACTCGCTGTCTCTCCTCGCCGCCTTCGCCCTCGCCGCAATCTCCGCTCTGCTCCCTCGGATCAAACCCCGCCAGGTACAAAACCATCACTTAAAAGATAAACGCTGTTTTGAAATTTAATCAAGAAAATTAATTGATCCTTCATTTTTTTAACCAACAGCTTCAATCAGAACCAAACCCAAGACCCCACTTCGATCCTCTCTCCCCTGCTATCAACTGCTTAAACCCGAACACAACCTGATCTCATCAGAACTCACAAAGATGGCCAAACTGGCAAGCAATGACGAATTCAGCGAAAAAGAAAATCTGGGCACCAATCTAAACACCCCAATTCTCTTCGAAAGAGGCAAGTTTTATGAATTGTACTCTGCTCGGAGGAACGAGAGGCTCAAGAGGAAGAAAGAGTATTATATGGAACTGGATGAGACAGTTGCGCAGGATCCTGAGATTGCCGTCGAGCTGGCGAAGAGGAGGGCATCCAAGAAGGCAGAGAGTCTGAGGAAGTCGGTGCCTGCCAATTTCTCGGTGAGTCGAGCGAATAGTTTGAGGTCGTCAGTGAGGAACAGTAAGGAGATGAAGAAAGCCTCTGCTGCTGTTGCTGCGAGTTGTGAGAAGAAGTCTGCTGCCGATTTGAGTTTTGTTAGTGGAAGAAGGGTTGGGACTCGATCTGTTCGCAGGATATGAATTTTATGTTTATTATTGTGTGGTTTTTTTAGTTTGGGATTAAAAAAAATTTCTGTCTTTTTTAGAAAAAAATGTGTGAAGAATTGAGCGGGGACATATAGGTGATGGGAGTACTGATAGATTCTGTTGCATTCTTTTTTTAATTTGATTAAGAATTATAGTCTTAGTTGATATTATGGACACATTTTCTCAAAATTCTTGATTGCATTTGTATAGTTATCTGGTTGGTATTGGAAAATTCTGTTGGATTCTTTTTTTGATTTTATTATTTTTTATTTGTGTAAAGCTCAAGCATGCATCTTTTTCAATTTTTATTAAGAATTATATATAGTTTTAGTCAATAAATTGCAGGAAAAGCCCTATGGTTTCACCAACATTGTAAATAGGTGACCCCAATTTTAAGATTGAGCAAATAAATGCCCTAATATTTTTGTATTTTGCAGATAAATACCCCAAGTTTTAAAGCCCTACAATTAAATACCCCAAGTTTTTAAAATGTTTCAAATTGATGCCTTCCCTTAGTTAGCCATTAGAATATTCTTGGAATACACCCATATGAGCTGTCACATGATATTTTACTATAGTCTTATACCCCTAAAGTTCATTCAAATATAACCACCCCTCTTGTATAGTAACTAGTTTCTTCTTTCGAATGGGGGAGGGGCGTTTTCGTCATTGAAAAAAAATTTAATGGCAGCTATGTTTTTTAACAGTGGAAACATGGGGGCATTTATTTCCTCGGTTTTAAA